GTCCATTTATTCCCTGAAATGCACACAGCATAATAATCATGGTTTATATACGATTAACAGTATAAACATCCCATAAGATATCATGGATAATTTATCTGACTAAAACCATGGCCTTATTTAATTTAACAGTAATGTTTGATACCATTTAATACGATAATAACACTATTTATATTTAACAATGTCGTTAAATAAACCACATTAGTATCCGTACTGAGAACGAGCCAATAAATGCTTAGAAAAGATTAATCGGTCATAAGAATAAGTAACGGGTGTTAAAATAATAATTTCGTGGCCCGTTAAACCCGTAATTACCAACACAGTACCTAAAAATCCAAGTTTAAGGTTCTGGAATTTACAAAACAGGCCCTAGGGGTATTCTGGTAATTTCCAGCAGCTGTAGGGACCCCACACGCGCCCTCACGCGCCTCCCAGAGCCTCCCCACGCGCAGCCCAACCTTCCCCACTCTCCCACGCGCCTCCACGCGCGTCTGGCATCAGCCACGCGCTCCCACGCGCGTCCGGAGAGTCCCACGCGTGCGCACGCGCTGCCACGCGCGCGTTGATGGCTTCCTGCTGACGTGGCGTCCTCCGGTTGGTTGGCTGCATCACCTTTCCTACATGCGCGTCACACCGGATCATCTCACCCTATCTTCCCTCCATCCAACGCCCACAGATCCGGGTGTACCGCGGTATCATGGACCGCGATGCACCGGATCAATCAAACTCCACTAATGGCCAGGATGCGCTCGTACACCCTCCTATGGTGCGCCGCGTCGCACCGGATCACTCCGGTCGTCTCCCCCACTGCCGGCGACCGGAAAACTCGCCGGAAGGTCGCCGGAAATTGCAGAAAATGCTCGGAAAAATCTAGAAAATTCTAGAAAAATCCCTAAAGTCTTATTTAATTATTTTTAGCCATTATTAATTTCATAGGACATTAAATAAATATATACCATCCTATATAATTAAAATTCCATTAATTTAATAAAATAAAATTAATTATTTATTAACCTCCTAACCTTGGCTCTATGCATAAAAATAAGCTAAACAATTAATTTATTAATTCAAAGGGGAAAAGTAGATAATAACTTGCCTTTTTGGATTTAAAATAAATCCGCCGGTCTGCGCGTAGTCGGGTAAAATCGCCTACACCGGTCCAAGCTTCTTTCTCTCTCTCTTTTCCTTTCACTCTTATAAAATAGCTCTCTAGAATTTATACTTTGCTTCTAACTCCCTTTCTTTTCTTCTAAGGTAAGCTAGTTAATTTATATACAAAATATATAATATAAATATTACAAATATCTAATTTATAATAACTTCTCACCCATTTCTCATATTCCTACCTATATGGCTTTAAGACAATGCTATCTTAATCAAGATATTTGATCCACCATTCTACCATAGTAAATGAAATTCTATCCTAGTATTTAATTTTTCATCATTACCTTGATTTAATACTAATATTATTATTACTAATATTATTATTAATAAAACTTTTATAATTATTATTATTATATTATTATTATTATTATTATTATTAAACTAATATAATAATTATTATTGTTATTTACAAAATAATATATTATATCATCATAATACTTTATAACACAAATATAATATTCTAATTAACTAATATTGCTTAATTAAACATAATCAACAAATAAAATTAATTATAATAATACCTGCACAATTAAATGAATAAATTTACTATTTTAACATACACAATTAATTTACATGCACCATTAAATGAACTGAATATAACAATGAAGCATGCACAATAATAGGTACAGGAATCCACACATAATTGAATTTAAATACACTAAACTCTTTAATTAATTACGGGGTATTACAATCAGCCTGTGCAGCGTTCTAATGAGCAGCCGATTCCACTAGTGAGAAATCAGCAAGAAGGTGTCGGCTATCTAAACCAAGGTAGGGTCAATCCTTTGATACCTCCAGTGGCTGTTGGGGGGCAAGTGAATGCCGATCCACAAAGGAAGTGGGTTAATCCATTCATTCTGCGGCACCCAAATGATCCTCCAGGAAGATATGCAGGGATTGATAGGGCTTAGATTTTAGCTTTTATACAAGCCGAAGTGGCACAAGGTTGCGGACGTGCTCGGCCGGTATACAGAAAACTCTATCCTAATCACGTTGATGTCCATGAATTGCCTAGAAATTATCGGTATCCCAATTTTTCTATGTACAGTGGCGAAGAAAATTTCTCTATAGTACAGCATATTGCAAGGTTCACTGCACAATGTGGAGAAGCTGGTCCTAACCCTTGGTTAAGGATGAGGTTATTCTCTAGCTCTCTTACCGGGGCAGTTTTTGAATGGTACAGCAACTTACCGGCTAATTCTATTCAGACTTGGGATGAGATGGAGGAAGCGTTCCATACCCAAATCTACCGAACAGAGACAGAAGCTACACTGGCAGACATATCTCGATTATCTCAGTTGCCGAGTGAATCGGTTGAGACTTTTGTTGCCAGGTTCAGAAAGAAGAGAAAGAGAGGAAAAATTCTTCTAAGGGTACTTGGTACAAGGACCCTAATTATGAGGTATTCTCGGCAGAAGTTGCAAATGAATTAGAAGTTGACGTCGCAGAGGTTAATATAAAAAAGCCATACGTTTGTGAGGCATTGGTTAAACCTAAACCGACCACGGGGGGCAATTCATCAATGTCAATATCAGCAGCAAGGAAAGGTCCTGCCGATACCGGGAAAAGTTATTATTTCGACTTGTCGAAAACAGATCAAATTTTCGATCACTTGATGGCCGATAAAATGATATATTTGCCTAAAGGGCATAGGATTCCATCGGCAAGTGACTTGAAAGGAAAAGAGTATTGTAAGTATCATAACTCTTGGAACCATGTTACTAATGATTGTATTATTCTACGAGGTGTATTGCAGAAAGCTATTGATGAAGGCACTTTAAAGTTCCCGGAGAAAACTCCAGAGACCATGAAGGTGGATACTAATCCGTTTTCAACAATCACATCTACAAATGTAATAAGCTTAGCCAAGCCAGAGAATTGGCAGGAGGAAGAAAAGTTATCTGGTGAGTTCCTTTCGTTAACTGCGACACCTAAAAAGATGGCAGAATTGCAAAAGCAATTAAGGGGGGCTCAATTAGCCTTGATTGATAATGGTTGTTGCCCAAATTGCAAAGGAAAGCAATAACCAAAGGAAGACGTGCCAATGGAGGTTCAACCAAAGAAGAAAGGAATTCTTGAGAGGCTTACTTTCCTGTTGAAGCCTGGGAAGGAGCTTCGACAAGGTGATTCCAGCAACAGCCATTTGAAAGCAGGAAGGCCAACTCGGCAAGGTGATATATCTAGCCGATTTCATTCCCAAAATGGGCATCCCAGTTTTAAGAGGCAGTCACCAGTTCAGTCAGAGATTTGGGTACAGAAAGGAGCTAATTCATATAGAGTACGAACTATGAAACCAAGGATAGACTCGATTGAAGATAGATGGACTCGAGTTAATCATCCAAAGTTCCCTAAAGCTCAACAATCTCAGAATAGGGTTCTAACTCGATCTTAGAAGCATAGAGAACAAAGGAGAAGGGCTGAGAAAAAAAGAAAAGCTGAAGGAGGAAGCAAAGCAGTGCAAGCCGAGGTTATTGGCATTCCAGATAAAGATAACCCGGATGAAGAGCATCAGCCGACGTGGCCTAGACATAACAATGAATTCAGAATTCAATTTGGCAGTTTCCCAGACGAGATGTCATGTAACATGGCATTTGTATTATCAACAATGTTCCAGGCTCCATCGGCATCAAATACAAATATTGAGAAGAATGAGAAGGAAACTCAGCCGATTCGAAATTTATCAATTCTTTCCTCAGAATCGGCAGAGAAGGTGGTTTTTGAAAAACCTCTGTTAGCAATGACTCAACAGCTTAGGCCTTTGTATGTTAAGGTGTAGGTAGAAGGTCAACCTATTAATCAAGTCTTGGTAGACAATGGCTCGGTTTTAAATGTTATTCCAGCAAACACATTGAAGAAACTCGGCAAGAGTATGGAAAATGTTATTCCTACTGATATAGCAATTTGTGGTTTCAACGGAGGTTCTACCAGCACTAAAGGGATCCTTCCTTTAGAAGTAGAGGTTGGAGGTAGGTCGTCTTATGCGGCATTTTTTATTATTGAATCCACGGCTTCCTATAATTTGTTATTAGGCCGTGATTGGATTCATCCGAATATGTGCATCCCATCATCATTACATCAGATGCTGATTTTTTAGGATAGAGATAAAGTAAAAATAGTAAATGCCGATGATAAGCCATTTGTGGCAAAAGTGTATTCGGCAGATGCTGTTTTATATGACGAAGAATGTGTTCCTATCCGGTTTGTGGGAACAGGAGCCGATGGAAGACCAACCTCGGCAACCATGAGAAGAAGTCTTGCCGATCGTGAAATAGGCAAGTTGTAGCAGGAGAATTATAGGCCGAAGGTAGAATGCCCTCGGCTTGCTATAATTGAAGAAGTTATTGATGGAGACGAAACTTGAAAGGGAAACTGCTTGGCAGCAGGCCTTTAGGGCCACTTGCATCAGGCTTCAAGCGTACATCGCCGAAAAACGGCTAGAGAAAGAAGCAATAATAGAGCCAGGACCATCGGTCAATCTTACTGAAATCGATCGGTTTAGTAATGAAAAGTTGGATGCAATTCAGTTGGAAGACTTGGAGTTAGTGCCAGCAAAGCTCAACGATCTTAAAGTAGACACTTATGATCCTTTAAAGGAGGTGAATTTAGGCACTGACACAGAACCTAGACCTACTTATATTAGTGCACTGTTAGAACCAGAATTACAAGCCGAGGTTATCGGTATGTTGAAACAATACAGTGACTGTTTTGCTTGGAGCTATGAAGAAATGCCGGGTTTATCCAGAGATTTGGTGGAACATCGGTTGCCCATTAAAGATGGCTATAAGCCATATAAACAGCCACCTCATCGAATGTCTTAAGAAGTAGTAGACAAAGTCAAGATGGAAATCGAACGATTGTTGGATGCTGGATTCATTCGAACTACACGGTATGTTGAATGGTTATCAAATGTTATCCCTGTTATCAAGAAGAATGGAAAATTACGTATATGTGTTGATTTCTGAAACATAAATTTGGCAATGCCAAAAGATGAATATCTAATGCCGATAGTCAATCAGTTGATTGATGCGGCTGCAAAGCACCAAATTGTATCTTTTATGGATGGACACTCAGGCTATAATCAGATTTATATAGCCGAGGAAGACATTCCAAAGACAGTTTTTAGGTGTCCCAGATCGATTGGAACTTTTGAATGGGTGGTAATGCCTTTTGGGTTGAAGAATACTGGGGCCATATATCAATGAGCCATGAATTCTATTTTTCATGATATGCTCGGCAAGTTTATGGAGGCGTACATTGATGATTTGGTGGTAAAATCAGCAACAAGGAAAGAGCATCTAATCTACCTCAAAGCATCTTTTGAGAGGATGAGGGCTCATAAGCCAAAAATGAATCCAATAAAGTGTGCCTTTGGAGTATCGGCAGGAAACTTTTTGGGTTTCTTGGTTCATCAAAGGTGTATAGAGATCGATAGGAATAAAGCTAAGGCGATTATTGATGCTAGTGCACCAAGAAGCAAGAAACAGTTGTAGAGGTTACTTGGACAAGTGAATTATCTTAGGAGATTTATTGCTAATACAGCTGGGAAGTTACATGTGTTTTCCCCGCTACTTAAGTTGAAGCCGATGGAAGAATTCAGATAGGATGATATTCATTAAAGGGCATTTAACCAGATCAAACAATACTTGTCGAGTCTTCCTATCATGATGCCACCAAGGAAGAAATGGCCGATGAAATTATACTTATCGGCTGCTGAAGAATCCATTGGAGCTATGTTAGCATAAGAGAATGAAGCAGGAAGCGAGCAAGCAATATATTACCTCAGTCGAGTTTTAACTCCAGTCGAGTGTAGATATACACCGATTGAGAAATTATGTTTGGCCTTGTATTTTGCAGCAATGAAATTAAGAGTGTATGTGTTGCCTGTTTTGGTTTATATTGTTTGCCAAACCGATCTTATAAAGTATATGCTATCAAGGCCATTAATCACAGGCCGGATTGGCAAGTGGGCTTTGGCGCTAATGGAATTCAATTTTGCATATGTTCCACAAAAGGTAATTAAGGGAAGAGCATTGGCAGATTTTCTTGCTGATCATCCCTCGCCCGAAATTGAGTAAGAAGTATTTGATGAGCTTGACTCGGCATCCATATTCATGACTCCATGGACTTTAATGCTCGATGGGTCAAGTACTAGTGAAGGCTCGGGTGCTGGTATAATGATAATATCCCCAACAGGGAATCAAATCTCGTTTTATTTCTTTTTGGATTTCAGGTGTTCAAATAATCAAGCCGAATATGAAGCATTAATTATCGGCTTGGAAATTCTGTTGGAAATGACAGTCAAAGATGTCCACATTGTGGGAGATTCAAGTTTAGTGATTAATCAAATCTCAGAAGACTTTAGATGTTTGAATTGGCAATTAAGACCATTCCATTCGTTGGCAACCCAATTGGTTAACCAATTTCACAATGTGACTTTGGAATATAGACCAAGGGCCATGAATAAACTAGCTAATGATTTAGCACAGACAGCTTCAGGAGTAAGGGTGCCGAGTGGAATGAAGGAAAGAGTAATGAAGATTACACGCCGATCTCTTCCATTAGCTGAAACAAGAAATCAAATTATGGAAGAAGTCTTTGCCACTGATGTTGCCGAATTGGATGATGATGATTGGCGAATTCCTTATATCTTGTTTTTGCAACATCCAACTTCTGAAGCCGATCAAAGAATTAAAAGAAGTGCAGTCGATTATGTGCTTATGGATGGAGATCTTTATAGAAGATCGGTTGATGATGGTTTATTATTTCAGTGCATTAGCAAGTTTGAAGGTTTGAAAATTATGGCTGATGTACATGAAGGGATATGTGGAGCTCACCAAGCTGGCATAAAAATGAGGTGGTTGATACGCCGATATGGATATTATTGCCTAAGAATAAGAAAAGATTGTATGACTTATGCAAAAGGTTGTATAGACTGTCAAAAACATAGTCGAATGCAGTGGGTCCCAGCAATAGAAATGCAATTACTAGTTAAACCATGGCCTTTCAGAGGATGGGCTATGGACAAGATTAATCCACCTTCATCAAAGGGTCATCATTGGATTATTCTAGCTACCGATTACTTTACTAAATGGGCAGAAGCCGAGGAATATGTATCGGTAACTCATAATACCGTTATACAATTTTTGGAGCGACATATCTTTCACCGATTTGGATTATCGGAAACAATTGTTGCCGATAATGGATCTGTTTTTCGAGTAAATGAAGTATTACAACTTGGCCGTGATATGCAGGTGAAAATGGTAACTTCAACACCCTATTATGCTCAAGGGAATGGTCAAGCCGAGGCTTCAAATAAAGTTGTTATTGAAATTATTGAGAAAATGATAAAAGACAAACCAAGGCGTTGGCATGAAACTCTTTCAGAAGCCTTTTGGGCCTATAGAAACTCAAAAAGGACAAGTACGGGAACAACTCCATCTCGGTTAACATTTGGTCATGATGCGGTGTTGTCGATGGAGTTAAACGTTAAATCGGCAAGGGTAGTTTTGCAACATAATCTCATACCTGCTGATTAAAACGAAGCTATGCTTATTGAGTTAGAAGATTTAGATGAAGTCCAGAAACTTGCTTTGGACCACCTTATGGTTCATAAAGCAAAAGTAATGAGGGCTTACAATAAAAGGGTGAAGTTCAAGTCATTTGCAGAAGGCGATATGGTGTGGCAAACAATCCTTCCACCTGGGAAGGTGGGTAGAGTTTATGGCAAGTGGTCACCTACTTAGAATGGTCCATATTTGGTTCATCAAGTATTACATGGAGGCGCTTACAGGTTAAAAGATCTAGATGGTGAAATCTATGAGAGACCAATAAATGGAAGGTACTTGAAGAAATATAATCCAACTATTTTTGAACTTATGGAGGAAAAGAAGACCTCCACTAAGTAAAAAATAGATTGGATTGTATTGTATTGTTTTGTTTTATGTTATTTCGTTTTATGTAAGTTATTTTGAAGCAAATAAATCAAAATAAAGATATAGTAAAATGAAATTCCGAAGGTCATTATACCAAATATTGTCCAAAACATTAAATCAAACCCACGAAAAGTAAGATTGTTCAAAACCATATTACAGTCCTTTGTAAACAGATAGTTCTTGTTATAAGAAAAATGATCAAGGTTGGGTAAAGTTTGTGTAAAAAACTTCAAATTTGGCCTTGAAACCGGCCCAGGAGGTAATGGTTTGTTGGAGCTTGGTCTCTGCTTGCTTTTTAGACCGCTCCAATTGAGGCAATTGGGTCTGTAACGCCTTGAATTTGGGAGCAGCAGTTTCAGCTTGGATTTTTAATTCCATCACTTTTTCATTAAGCTGGGTCTTGTCTAGCTGTAACTGAGCAAGCTCGGTTAAAAGTTTCTTCTCTCTGATCTCTAGCTCAGCAGCTTCTTTCTTCAAAGATGAATGGAGTTCTTTGCCCATTTTCAAAGTTTTGGCCAGCTTTTCCTTTTCTTGGGTTTGAGCAGCACAATGGTGGAGGGTTTGAGTAGACTCGGCATAAGCAGTCATCATAGAAGGGACTTGAAGTTGGAAGTTCTTGAAGAGAGCTTGGTCACCTGAAGAGAATCTTGGGTAACTACTCAAGAAGGACAAGGTTTCAGTTAACTCATTTTTGAATGAAGGGGCTAGAGATAAGTCTTGTTGCACCATTTGGGACAGGATTTGGATGGCTTTTGTAACTTCTGGGGGTGTGTCAGAGGTTTGTTTAGGTGAAATTTCAGGAAGTTCAAGATCAGGTGGGTCAAAGACAGAATCAAATAACAAGTTAAGGGTTGCAAATGGAGAGTTTGGGTTGGTACTGACAGGATTGGTTGGAATAGCCGAGCCTTGTTGTACCTGAGATATGCCATAGCTATAATAAGTTTATAAGAACAGGTTATAAAAGAAATGTATAAATACATATATCATTACTTACTTTATCAGAATCTCCGACCTGTTCATGAATTGATGCTGCAGCCAAGGGTGGAGAAGGCACAGGGGACCTTTATTTTTCACTAACTGATAACTCAATTTTCTTTTCTTCTCCAGCATGGTCTGCAGAAATTTCTTGAATTAATTTTTGTTTAGAAGAGAGTGGAGTTTCCTGAAAACAATGCCGACTTAGTTATATTATAAGGAGAAAAGGTAATATACGAGGTCAGGCAAAAAAAAGAGATTACACTGGGAGAGGCAGCAACAGGTTTCCTTTTCTTGGATATAACCTCTTCGTCATCCTCCTCATCATCATCATCAATCAGTTCAAAATGTCTTTTGGCTCGTGACTTTTTGGGTTTTTTCCCCACCGTTTTCTTTCTTGTTGTTTTCTGAACAAAAGTGTTAGCAAGAAAAGGGGTATGCATCAAAAGAATAAATATATAATTTAGTTATGGGTGTTACCTTAGTAACCGAGGATGGAGGTATGCTTTGAAGAGGGAAATAAAAATCGACTTGAGTTTCTTCAGATTTGGTGGATTTCTCTGGGGCATTGGAATGAGTACCCGAATTTATGATTAATAAGCATATAAACCAGATAGAAGTTCTATGGAAAAGATAAGGATATATAAAACTTACTTGGCCGAGAGCGAGATCTAGTCCTACCTGCAAGAGCTGTGGGAGGAGGATGAGTTGGTGCTGTATTTGTTATTTTCTCTGGTTCAGGAGCAATAGAGAGGGCTATGGGTTCAATGGAATCCAAACCCTGAAAGTTAAGGGAAATGAACTTATAGGAGCCAAGGAGAATGCACACGAGCTGACTGGAATCCACGGTCTTGGTAAAAGTGATGTAGGATGTCCACCAATCCTCAAACTTTGGGTCAGTACTGGGTTTTTCAAGGAAGGGTTTATACTGAAACCCTTGAAGAAGTTGAGTGAATCGATTAGACACATCTTGAACCTGTTCACTGTTGGAGAGCTTCACTCACCGATGATAGTTCTTGTTGTAAGAAAAATGGGGAAGTAATGGGATCATCTGCGTTAATCCAAATTGCCGAGCTAACTGCGCTGGGTTATAAAACTCAACCCCAGTTCGGCTCTTGGGTAAATTGGGAGCAATGGTATTACAATGTATATCTCTTGCGACCAAGAAGTGGCCCCATGAAGAGATATAAAGGTCAATCTGTTCAGGAGAAGACTCGGCAGTAGGGGGAAACAACCAAGATGGAGCTAGTTGACATTTGGAAAAAGGAAGGAATTAGGATTGAGTCCTGATCTTGCACTGATGATAGAAGAATTGAAAACAGTCATTAAAGGAATAGTCTTTGGGTTTGACTCTAGCATATCCAAATGATAGTAAAGGATCATTTGGAGCAGGTCGAATGGGAGAGGATAACTCAGGGAAATATGTATATAGCCAGAACTGATATAACCAGAATGGACCTCCAGATCTTACAAAGTTGGAAGTAATAAGGTCGGATAAGCCTCTATACAAAGACGCTAACAGGAATGGAGCTAAAGCCATAGGTTTCCCTTTGGATAATGCGATAGCCAATTGGGTAAGGTCCTTGGTAATCTGGATAGCAGGAGCACACAACAAATATCTACACAGCCATAGTAGTAAAAATCTTATGTGTTCTTGTTCATCTACGTCAGTTCCTTCTTCTCCTAACATTTCTTTCAAGAATGGTCCATGTGATTACACAAAAGGTTTAGCCCATTTCTGTTCTAGGAAGTAAAAGGAGGTTTTTTCATCTTGAAGGAGATAGTTGATTTCATCTCCTCCAGGTTTTAAACCTGTTAGAAAGCAGACGTCCCTCAGGGTAGGGGCCATCATGCCACAGTGCAAGTGTAGTGAATTGGTTGTGGGGGACCAAAAGTGCAAAGAGGCAAAAAATAATGCTCGGTCAAAAGAGAAGGGAATCTTACTAAGCTGAATGAGGTCAAAGATACCCATCTTTTTCCACTGCTCTCCTTTTGCTGTTGATACACGATCCACCCAATCGTTCCATTAGAGCATTGATGGATGCCAATTTCTAATAGAGAGAGTTGGTCGGTCTCCTTCCGCTGTTAGATAAAGAGTTTTGGAATAAGGAAGGTGAGGTTTGGCTTGTGGATAAATTGAAGATAAGGAAGGGGGAAATCGAGTAACAAACGCTGGCCAAGTCCCTTAACATTTTCAGAGATATCGATTAACGTATTGGAATTTAGTTCGCTTTGATCTAGGGTTTTGATCGCTGATTTTGTTAGTTGGGTATGGCCATGTCGCTTCTAGAAATGGGTTTTCCAAGTTTAGATCAGTTTGTTTCATTGGTTTTGAAGTCATGTTGCAGAAAAGGTTCCGTTAGAGAGAAGATTGGAGAAGAAGGGTTTGTGGTAGAAAGAAGAGTCTGCAAAAGGTTATGGGTTATGGAACAGCCGTGTTTGGTTGAAGATATGTGATTACGGCGATGATTAATGAGTGATGAGATGGTTATCATAATCGATATGTGTTGGGAAGCGAATCAAGATAAAACTGATAGGGTTATTAGATATATACAGAGTTATGATGCAACGGGTGTGTTTGAATTTTGGAAGCCGAAGGGTTAAAACGGCTACCAAAATTGGGGGGCATTGTTGACACCCATTTTGGTATTTGGATTGCTAACCTATCTTCGGCCTAGTCATGAAAACTAAATACCCTTGATACCCGTTTTGGTAATTGGGTTCTGGCCCTAATTGGATTTGATGAGCAGTGAAGCATTGGGCCGAGAGAATATAATGGGCTAAAACATGTGACAATGAGGTTGGGCTAGGAGGTATGTGGATTCGCAAATGATTTGGTTTCTGGCTGGGATAATGCAATGCAGTTAAGATGTTGGGCTATACACATCACATGGATATGGATTACAAGAGAAAGGGCAATGACGTGCTACACACAAGGGCATCACCGATCATATAGATTATATTTGAAATACTTTTGAATTTTATGTTGGATAAGATTTATATGTTTACTAGGTTTTAGTTAAGAATTAATATTTATCTAGGAACTTTAATTTGAATTTAAATTCAGTATTTAGTGATGAGGTAGAGTTTTATTGTAATTAGAATACTTATTGGTAGGAATTTGTTTCTAATAATTTCTATAAATAAACAAAAGGCATGCTGAACTAAAGGCCCAACACCCTCAGAATCAATTTAGTTATTTGTTTGCTTTTTCAAGCACTTTTCCTAAATAGCATCCTTGCTATCTCTATCTCTCTCTCTATTTCAGTCTCGTTCTATTTCTCTCCCTATATCTCAGTCTCTCTATCTCTTCTCCCTATCACCTTCTATATCTGTTTTTCTCCCATTTCTATTCTTATATTGTTACTATAATTTATTTACTAGTAAAGTCCTTTTAACTAAGGCAATATTGAACTCATTTAGGAGTTTATTTGTTCTCTATCTCCTATAATCGCCTGAAGTCAACATTCCCTAAGAGACTATAAGTTGACAACTCACAATTGAACCATATATTTGGTTCTGGCACGCCCGCAACTCATCAATTTAAGATCGGCTCTAACCAACCGATTTTAGGGTCAACAGAAAGATAAAAAGACCCCAAAGGAGGCCCAACAAACAAACTCATGGTG